ATTTTTGTTTCTAGATATTGAAACATGTGAGACACGATAGAGTGCAAGGGGTTAATTGTCGATTATAGGGTTTAGTTTAGAGAATGATCTAAAATTTATTACTAAAAGCTATCGCCAGGACCACGCGAGCCTTTATTCACTGAGAAGGACTTCTACCTCAGTTCAGTTCTCATTAGTTTGCTATGGTTCGCATGGTCGAGATCATTTGGAGTATGGGTCAAACTATTTTATCGAAATGGAAGCGCATGCTTTTTGGCACTAGCTGCAAACTGCCTCACACATTTAGGGACCTCTTCACATACCAATTAAAAAAAAACACACCATTTTCCGTAGAGCTTCTCATCTTTGGCTGATACTTACAAAAGTAAGTTGAACAAGTTGTTTTTTTAAGTCTTACAGTACAATGTGATGTGATGTGTTACCTCACCGAGAACCAATTCAGCTCAGTTCTGAGCAGCTTTCTTCAACCGCTCAAATGTCATTCCAGTCTCCTCAGCCTCAGTGATGACTGACATCTTGGTTTGCCCACTTTTCTCTTTCCCTGTGGATTCCCATTTAGTGCCTGGCTTGCAACGTTGGTGTGTTACCTCACCGAGAACCAATGAAGCTCTTGTTGTTGGCCTATTCAAAACTCATTTCCACAGAAGCTTTGATCGGGTCGCCAAGATGAGATTGTAATAGCGTTAAATATCCTGGATTGACTAATGACTTATTATCTCCACCAAACTCAGTTCTGAGCAGCTCTCTTCAACCGCTCGAATGTCATTCCAGTCTCCTCAGCCTCAGTGATGACTGACATCTTGGTTTGCCCACTTTTCTCTTTCCCTGTGGATTCCCATTTAGTGCCTGGCTTGCAACGTTGGTAGTTCATTGCTCAATTTGTGTCTTATCCAGCTCCACAATTTGTCTTTTAACATCTTGGGCTATGGTTTCTTTTTTTTTGGCTTGGTTCTCACACGTAGACAGTAGATACCCTGTCGGGCCAACTACTTCCAAAATAATTGGCGTAAACAATTGTTCGGGAAGAATGGTGTTTTCCCATATTTGATTTTATAACTTTATGTCTCGGAACCAACACAAGGACCGACTTAACGATTGTGTTAAATATTTAGATTTTGTTTTGGATCACCAGACTGCTTGAAGAGTGGTCAAGGCAAACCTTGTTTTATTATTGCTATTCATTATATATCATCACTAGTTTTTGCTATCTCTACTTCCCAGAAACTGAAATGGTTTGTGTTGGTGTTCGCCCCCTGGGCTCTTTTGTATGTTATTGATCTTCCGAATCTTGGTTTTCGTATTGTTGAAGTCCACTCGTTTCTGAGAGTCTGGTCAGTTTGGGCTGAGCGTACGGGAAAATGTCGTCTGCAAAATCTAGGTCTACCAGACGTTGAGTAAAAGGTGCTTGACTAATACCTAAAAATAATAGCTCACAAAAGACAATGCTTCGCTAATTTTACTTGATGCTTACTAGCCAACAGGCTAAAACACCATACAGCATGGCATATATTAAATGACTACTAATTTCGTTCAAAAATGTAGCTAGGCAACAGAGTGATTATTAGTTTCAGAAAAAACATTTACACGTTAAAAATACACTTCAATTAATATTTTGGGGTTCGACAAATAACTTTTAGTAATATTTATTTATAGCTTTTATAAAGCGCTTCTTTCATGCTTAGAGCGCTTTGGTCCAATCTCATTTGTGGACCAGTGGGGGGAGGGGGTATCTAGGTTTTCCGTGCTGCCTTTAGGCGCTCAGTAAACACAACCCTACCCGAGTCGGGTGTCGAACCTCGAGCCCCCTTCTAGGTAGCCAAGACATGCCAAGTTTAAGCGCACTTGGCCTCTCGACCACGCTTCCCACTGATTACTGATTACTTTACTCTAAATAACTAATGAATGATAGATTAAAAAATGAAACATTTCTAACCGCCACCCCCTTTTGTTTAAAATTTGGCCGACAAGATGTTACATCGTGTTTTATTACAAAGCTTATATCAACTCACTGTCTGTCTGTCCGTCTGTCTATACTCTATCTCGATCTATATCCTGTAGCTTAGACTATATCACCAAACTGAAGTTGTCTATACTCCGAGTAAATAGGACTATATACATGAGTCTAACCAAGATTTCTTTCGAAGGATGAAATCGAGGCGGTGTAAAAATGTTGCAATTTAAAAAAAAAAATCTATCATTTATTAATTATTAACAAGCAAGTAATCGCTCTGCTTTATAAAAAGAGAAATCGAAACAAACAAACAAAATTTAATGTTACTTTTTATTAATAAGTGTAATGATTGCCAACAGCAATTCAGTTGAAACTGATCGAACTTATATAAAGAAAGCTAAAATAAATCTATATGATGGCAGCTCTGCACCAAAAACTAATTTCGCTAAATGTAATTTTTTTTGTAATATACCACTGAAATCACTATCATAGTAATCAGTTTAGTTTGAAAGAGCTATTTTTATGACAAGTCATGACTTGGTTTGGTGTTGTAGTACAAGGTCATCAAAAGGATTGACCTATTTAATACCACAACGTTTTGTAATTACAAAAATAACTTACATTCAAAGATATCAATACTGTATTTTTGTGTTCAATCTATACGTCAAGTAATATCTTATCTTTTATTTGTTCGAAGAATGGTGAACAATTTGAAATCAGTTGGTTTTTTTTTATACCGCAATGTGCAATCTATGCTCAAGAACACTTCTAGTATCTTTTTATCATTTTTGAACCTATTTGTTTCGTCTTCTCGTTTGTTTTGTTTTTTAAAGTTTGGACTTGTTGAAACGAAACGAAAACAACAAGCATTGCCTATATAAGTGGCTAAACTAATGTAAAGCTTTACAGATTGGAAAAAAAAAAAGACCATTTTCACTCTATATTGGACGTCTTAGAGACATCATAATGAGAAATATAATTGCTTTAAATTTCCTTTTCTACTTTGTGTGTCTTCTTGGTATGTAAATTTAATATAGAAAATCGATTTCGTTAAACGCTTCGAAATTTTAAATTTGAATTTGACACCATAGATATAGTCTGATTACTTGCATTCCTCACTGATCTTCGGACTCGAAAACAAGCCTTATTAGTATTATAGTCTAATAGTATAAATATATATGCTTGATTATTAAACAAATGCAACTTAATTTTATAATTACAATATTAGTTAGAATGTACTTGGATTGTCATTTTATAGTCTTAAATTACGATCACATGAATTTTTAAATAACCTTTGGAGTCTAAATTCAGTAAAATGTATTATAGTTTAGGGCCTTTTTTAAGAGAATAAGGTCATAGCAAAAAGTTAATAATTTGCTGATATATATAGTACCAGGTCAAAGAGTCTCGTTGAACTCGGTTTAAGTTATCATCTTCCCTTTTTTTTCGTTGAACTTTACATATTCTTTTTTTTTTCAGATGCCTCTCAAATAAACTTTCAATCCACTCCTTTTATCATCAACCCAGTACTTACCAAAACTTTGACGCTTCGATGCTCTGCACAAGAGTTCAGTTCAGCGACCTCGAGTTACTGGCATACAACAACAACAGCCAATTGGCGAACGACAACGCATAGAACTACACACCCACCAGAAACAACGACCACAAGAAACGCTATTACCACAAACCCATGGTTCTTCCAGGATACATCAACAGAATCTAATGTCCAAACCTCAAACCCAGAAACCACGGCTTCGAACTTTCAGACCGAAGCTGACGTCACCCATGTTATGTCTATCATTATTAGCAAATTGAATAAGTTCACGAACCAGCTTGACCCTGTTGCTGATGTCACTCCCTTTGACTCAGCTACTGCTGGGGCCATGTTTAAAGGTTCTGTCTCGCTTAATGGCAGCACGAGTGGATCAACTAACCACCGGGAGATGGGTTTCTTGGAGGTTACTTTTAATTACCCAGACGACAAAGAGTCTGGTGAGTACACTTGCGAAATCTTTGCCCTAAATCATGAAAACCACCCCGTCAATTTGAGATCTATTCTAACAGTCATCTCACGGGAGCCATCCATCTCTGACTTGGTAAAATATATTTCAAATCAAGAGAAACGTTTTGAGGAGATAAAAAATTACGAGAAACGTTTTGATGAGATCAAGTCTCAAAATATACAAAGAGGATCTGTGTCTTGCAGGTCCAGCGATTCCAGCATTATACATTTTCAGCATAGCTACAACACAATTCCGATGGTCTTTACTTCATTTACAAGTATCGCATCATCTGGTAACTATGGAACATCGATTCAAGTTACAATTGATAGCGTAACAACAACCAGTTTCAGGTATTCATGCTCTACTAATTCGTATACTAGCTCTACAATCGACTGGTTAGCAATAGACAGTTAGAATTGTAAAGTTTTGAGAGATGCATGGGTGTAGCGAAAGGGTTTCGGGGTTCAACCCCCACCCTCAAAACTAAAACTTGATGGTTGCTGTATTTTTTTTAAATATTTTTTTTGCATCACAAAGAAATTAGTGTTAGAGCTTTCTACTATATCTATATTTATAGCTCTCTAGAAACTATGTTAGTTTCACTCTTCGTCTACGTGTCCCGAGATTCGGCTGTCATTACATCAAACACCGCACAACTTGATCAAAAACACACTGAAACTTTATTTAACTTCATTGAACATATCACAAGCTGGTATCCTCTTGTCTGACAACTAACACACTTCCGGTCATTCGCGCATTTGTAAAAATAGATTATACACAAATACGGACACTCATCCGTGGCAAGTATCATTTCTTTATTTAATTAATTATTACAAAAACTATGTACAGGAAATATTTAACATTTTCAAAATTTCAGATTGTAAAATAAAAAAAAAAAAACATTAGCATTTAAGAAAAAAATCAATTATCAATTTGAACCGTTTTCATGTTGGAGATTTTCACAGTAAATGTTAATCACAGTAATCTCATCTTTGCTCACCGTAAATTCAGAAGATCCCGTTTACATTCGTTAAGCAATAAAAATCAGGAAAAAAAGAAATAAGAAGAAATGTGGTGTCAGTATAATGGAGACTTTAAAACATAATTAAAGGAGAAAGGAAAGATTTTGAAGGTCATTATAAACAATGTCAAGGACTACATTGCTTTAGTTAGTTATTGGGAAGGCTGTTAAAATGTATGAGCAGATGATTAGGTTGGCTGAATAGACTCTGATGAAATCACTATGAGGTCTAACGTAGTTGAGGTTATAATAGATCTGTGAACGTCTAGGATAGAGAGAACAAGTGAGAGAAGAGTGACACAAAGACGTGTTTTTTTTAGTGATTTATACATTAGTTAAATTATCAAAGATTTATTTGTATTTGTACATGTATTTTCATTGACGCATAAATGTTAATTAAAATTATACTTTGATTTATTTAAAAACATGTTTGTTTACGTTGCCCTGTAACATCCTAATTTGGTGCAGATGTTATCTTGGGTTCTTACATGTGTAGCTTTGTAAGCTAGCAATTACTGAAATGACAAGAGTCATGATACACCAAATAAAACAAGTGTGTCAGCAAAAAATATTATTACATGACAAAAAATGTGATATAGATCATTCCAGTTATAAGCAGCTAGTAGAGAAACATTGTAGTTAAGTACACTCTATATCATGAAAAATATTCCATTAGTGAAAGTTACAGTGAATCCAATGAATATAAAACAAGTACGCTCTCTAGCAAGACTAAATAAATACTTAATTACATATTAAATCATGTACAACATACGTCAGCTCTCTACCAAACTCAAGTACTCTAATACATCTGACTTCCGCGCAAGAGCTCATAAGTATATTGTGCGACTCACTAGAACGGTTAAGCGATCAAATATCGCTGTCATAATAAGGAGCCTGTGATAAGCCCATAATCTTCTTATGCAAAAACAAAATCTAATAAAATACTCAGAAAGACACAAAGATAAAGGCACATTCCTCGTTCCATATGCTAGGACAAATTTTTACAAATGCTCCTTCTTCCCTAGTGCTATCAATAATTGGTTGCCTAAGCCAGCCAGGAAAACCAACGACTTGTTGGCATGACACATAGGATGTAATATTTTTTTTTTTTTAAAGTAAATTCTATACATTATAAGTTATTAAGATATAATACGCTACATCTGTTAAGTCTCACCGAGTGTCAACAAAAGGTTGACAATAGGTTTCGAGGTTCAATCTCACTTGCCTCCAGCGTGGTCAAGTTTTAAGTTTGAAATTCCTTCTTTAATAGAAAATCAATGCAAGTTCCTTGAGTGTAGCTTTTGGGTGCAGGGGTTTAGTGTCGAGTTTAACTCCCCCCCCCCCATTTTTTGCAACCTCCATTCCCTCCTTTAAAATACTAAAACAAAGTCACTGTCATCAAATGTTATGAGTTGAGCCAAAAAGAAGGTAGGGGGGGGGGGGTTGTGGTGTTAAGGCACGATTAGGTATTAGTTTTTGTTTTCGGAAATATGGGAAGTTATTACTAAGAGACCATGAAGTGGACTAGAGAAAAAAAAAGGCTAGGTTTTTGGAGGTGATAGGGAAATATAAAGCCGATGTAAACAGACTACTTTTAGGACGCCTTAGTATGGTATCCCGTTATACAGTAAGTCAATAGATTAAATGAATAGATATGTGTGACGTCACATAGAAACCAGGAGAAAATCATATCGTTTTGGATGCGCAGAAAAATTACGTCAGAAAAACGTCAATTACTAAGCTATTGCAAACTTTTAAAATAAATATATTTACTATCTGTAAATCAAAACACATATTATGTTAGAATTTGTCTAAACCATCGGAGTTTCCCTTTAAAAGTATATAAATGAAAGTACCGGTTTTCTGACGTTTTTATAAAACCTACCAGTAGTAACCTTATATAGAATACTCAGAAAACATGTCTCTTTCCCAAGTTTTATGGAACAAGATTAACAAACAGGCATAGTAGGTACCAACAGAGACAGACTGTAAGTCAGCTTGCAAACCAGTACAAAATTATTTACAACACACAGCATGAAACATTAAGAAACTTCTAACATTGTAAGAGCATTGTACGTACGTATGTCTAGCAAATGATTGGTATTTAGGAAGTTTTTTCCAAAACCAAATACTGAAATGACTATCTAGATGTTCGTCTGTGAGGCGATTACACCACATTGGTTTCACCTTTTTTCCGCTTGATAAAAAAGAGTTGTTTTTTTTTTAGAAGGCGCTTGAGTCAACTATTACGTGCGAAATCAACTTTATCTTTTTGTAGTTTATTGTTGGGTTTATTTAGATACGACGTGCTGTCACTTTAAAATCCCACTAAAACACTAAATTTAGAAAGCCTTCAGGAGAGAAGACTCAAAAGTAAATTAGCAATTATACATAAACCACTGAGCCATAATCTTCAAATACAAAAACAAAATCTATTAAAACACTCAGAAAGACACAAAGATAAAGGCACTTTCCTCGTTCCATATGCTAGGACAAATTTTTACAAATGCTCCTTCTTCCCTAGCGCTATTAGAGCATGGAATGGGTTGCCTGAGCCAGCCAGGAAAACCAGCAACTTGGCAGAATTTAAGTTATTTGTTGACATGCTTGACTAGTTGCATGACTCGTAGGACGTAATCTTTTTTGTTTGTTTGAAGTAACGTCTGTATTATATAAGAAGAAGAATACCATGAAGGATCGTTAAGTTGAGGCTTTTGCTTATAATTCTCCGTTATAAAAATTTCAGTTTCATGTCTCATAGCCAAAAAAGTTGTAGAATCTATACTCTGCTTCACCAGCGATCTTTACTGTAAAATAAAACGTCTACATATTCGGACAAAATTTCTGTCAAAATTCTTAGAAGTTAAGTGGTTCAACGCTTGAATTGTTATAAAATTTAGTGATAAACAAATCACCACAAGGTTCTGATTCTGATTTGATTTGGAAATTTTTCTATCTCTTGCTGTCAGTCTGCTGTGACATCCAGCCATACATCTGGCAGTATGTGGGAAGCGTGGTCGAGAGGCTAAGTGCTATGAAGGCTACCTATGAAGGGGGCTCGAGGTTCGACACCCGACTCGGGCTGAGTTGTGTTTACTGAGCGCCTAAAGGCAGCACGGAAAAACCTTCTCTTAGATACCCCCTCCCACCCCCACCCCCCACTGGTCCACAACTGAGATTGGACCAAAGCACTCTGAGCATGCTATAAGCATGAAAGTAGCGCTATATAAAAGACATAATTTATTTATCAGGAAACTTCGCAAAGAAGAGAAATACATTCCATGATGTCAGAAACTTTTTTGAACAGGTCTTTGCCAGTGATGGATCCATGCACGCTCTTCATAGCTGCTATATCTTCTGTGAGTTTGAAATTGCTTTTCGTACCCCGCATAAAGTAGCAAGAGTAGGGTGGTGTCAGATGCCATTGGCCAATAGAAAACATTTCAAACTCTTTACCTTTAACTCTCTTTGGGAATGGAAAAGTTGTGTTGTAGGAAGATCCCGTTTTGTAACTTCAAATTTATGTAACACCTCTTTTGGTGTTTATTAAGGTGTTAGCTTTGTATTAGCTAACTGGTCTTCTCTTTACTTGAATTATTGACGCGTATGTCTACTAATGAGTACTATAAGTAGAATAGCACAACAAATATAGAGATTCAGAACTTAACGCAATGAGTAGCAGACAAAATATTTATTAAGTATGAAATAACAAACTACTAACAAGTCCAGACATAAAACAATGAAAAATAATTCAATAATTACTTGCAAGATTAATATCCAATGAAATTTTAGAGATAATTAATAGCAATGAAGCTCATGCCACACTAGCTATCAAACAATACTGTTAGGCCTATACGTTTACATTATATGTTAAAGCTTTTATAAAACTTAATGCATGACTACAAAATTCTAATAAATGCTTTAGATAATTAACATTGCTTTTTAATAGTTATTTGCAATAAATGTATATACAATCAAGCTTGCGTGTTTACTAAAGAAAATCCGCTGCCGAGGAAAATCGACCATACATAATCTAGAAAGATCTAGGTAATCAATATATTTAAATGTACATAAGATGAATAAAATAACAGACATGAATTATTTCAATCTAAAATTTTTGAAACATTATCTCAATGGAAACTAACAGGAAATGGCTTTGTTTCATTTGTTAGTGTGAATATATGGTTCTGTGATTAATAGTCCATTCTGAAGAAAATCCGAGAAATTATTTTGCATTATTTCTAAACTTTGAAAACTAAAGATCATTACTTTTCTAAGACAGAAAAGATTGATTGGGGCGACTTCCCTAAGAGCTTGAAAAAGAGTTAGGTACATAAAAATCTATATATATAGTTCTGTGAATCGATCAATCGCGGATAAGAATTTGTTTCCGGTTTCCAGTCTAGATATAACATATAAGTCTATGGTCATAACTCAATAACAAAACTTTTTCCTAAGTTTAAGTCTGAACTACATTTCTACCTGGTCGCAGGGATTGAAGAAATACTGGCAAGGAAACTTTTGTAACAGGCGCGGTGGCTGAGAAGTTGGCTTCCCGAGTTAGAATCCTGGTGATGACTGGGATTTTAAATTTCGGGCGCCTCTGAGTCCATCCAGCTTGAATAGGAACCTGACGCTAGTTGGGGAAAAGTAAAACCGGTTGGGCGTTGTGCTGGCCACAAGTCACTCTTGTTTAACCGTAGGCTACAGAAACAGATGACCTTTACATCATCTGCCCTATAGATCACAAGGTCTGGAAAGGGAACATTACTTTTTGCTCTTTTTTAAAGAAAGTTAGTTCTTCTTGAGATCCTTGACTAGTTAAGGAACAGAGAAATCAGAAGAAATCAATGAAGATCATCAAAGCGTGCAAAAGGCATACATTGTTGGTTGTTTTTTTTACTAAAGAACCGCTACTCTGCTGAGTTGTTTTTTTCAAATCGAAACTGAAAGTGATACTTCTCGGAAGACTAACTGGTAATCAATAAATGTAGAACTAGAACTAACGTAAAAATTGAGGCGGCAGCGCTTAATTTTTTCGGATGATGAAAATTACCACATATAGCTCTAGATCATAAATTAGTGTTTTGCATTGGTTAATCGAACCTGTATTTCTCCAATATTAGAGCTTCCATGTGTGAAATGGAGACCACAGCCCTGCGATCATGTCAGACAAGGATGCTCTTATGTTAGTCAAAGATGCTTTATTTTACCACTGGAACCCAAAACGTTCCAGTAACGTTTTTATAAATTACAGACAATGTCATGACATGCGCAATGTTATGGCTTTTGTTAGTGGAAAGGTACTTTACTTTTATATTCTTGACAGAAAACCATCCGTAATGGTAATGCAGTTAGAATCAGACTATAAAAGTATAGCTGCCTGTAAAACGACACTTTTACTACAATCAAAGAGAATAGTAGAACAAGCTAAAGTAAG